TACTACTCCTGCTGCTACTACTCCTGCTGCTGCTGCTACTGCTACTGCTACTGCTACTACTACTCCTACTACTACTACTACTACTACTACTACTACTACTACTACTCCTGCTGCTGCTACTACTACTGCTGCAGCTGCTGCTGCTACTACTACTACTACTACTACTACTACTCCTACTACTACTTCTACTACTATTACTACTACTACTACTACTACTACTACTACTACTACTACTTCTACTTCTACCGCTGCACAGTTGGGAGGCTTGGACTTTGAGTCTGAGAAGTGGTCTGAGGATTGGCGAGGGCAAGGGACTCACGGATTGCAAAGTCCGTCATCGTTTAGCCCAGTGGCAAACAGCATCGTCGTCACGCTGAAAAGCACCCTCAGTCTGATCCGTGCAACAAATTAATTCGAGAGAGAATGGCAAACCTTCACCTCAACCACAACAACAACAAGAACAACAACAACAACAACAACAACATCATCATCAACAACATCATCAACAACGACGACGACAACGACAACGACAACAACAACGACAACGACAACGACAACGACAACAACAAGTACAACGACAAGAAGAAGAAGAAGAAGAACAACAACAACAACAACAACAACAACAACCACAACAACAACAACAACAACAACAGCAACAGCAGCAACGGCCACAATAGCAACCGCACCAGCACCGCAACCCGCACAACCATCACCACCACAACAACGAAAACAACAAACGCCACCACCACCACGACCACGACCACAGCCACAACGAAGACGAGGACGACTACGACGACAAGGACAACGGCAGCAGGAGCAGCAGCAAAAGCAGCGCACTTCACTGTGCTCCACTTGAAATCCATCCCTGCCACCGCCGCTGGTTCCGCAGCCTTCGCTCCAGCTCATCGCTGTCTGATGCTTAATCTAAGTTCACCAATCTCGTTCATGAGTAGATGCTAGCTGCTAGCAGCGTCAACCCGAGACATCTAGAATGCAGACAGAGCAGGGCTGAGGTTTCGGGGCAGCCGCGGTGTGGAGCTTTGACAGACTTCTCGAATCCACAGTCAAGGCCAGAATCGCTATCCACGCCATCACCCCACACGCCAAACTAACACTGAAATCCCAACAGACCTACATGGGCAGTTTTCTAAATTAGGGTCCTCTTTTAGGTCCCCAATATAATGCGGCACCCTTACAAGAAGGACCCTAAAAGGGGACCCTAATTTAGAGAACTACCCACATGCAAACCCCGCGGCTTCTTGCAGCCCCAAGCAGCTGATACATCGACAGGACATACTTCACAGGCTCGCTGGTGATCTCAGGCGCCGGGAGTGAAGGACAGCTCCGGCTCCCGAGGCTCCCGAGTCCCAGACTCCCAAATCTTTCAATGGAAGACTCTCACAATTTCAGGGTCTTGGTGAGATTTTTTTGTCTGTGCCGGTTGTTAGCATGTGTCAATGCTGTCCCCGGCGAATGCTACCGTGCCTGTCTCATGCAGCTGACACTCTACAACTGCCAAGGACGCCTACGGAAAAAGGCACACACAAAGCGCAGTTATAAGTCCGAAAACACGCTGCCTTCTCAGCTGCGGCTTTTGCACGATTCGGCCTGGGACCATTCTGACAAGCTGCGCGGCTGATGCTAATCAGCTGAAAGATACCGACTGCCAGGGAGAAGCAACCTGAGCGCGGCGGAGTCGGTGGTGGAAAGGGAGGGCCGTTGATGCCCAGAAGGAATACATATGGGTAGTTCTCTAAATTAGCGTCCCCTTTGGGGTCCTTCTTGTAAGGGTGCCGTACTATATTCGAAATTTAGAGAAGTACCCATATGTCCAACAAACTACAAGACCATGAGAGAGTTCAAGTTCTTGAAGCGGTCCCGAACCCCAAGCCCAAGCCTGGCAAAACCCCACGCACTGCAGATGCGGAGCTCGCTAGGAAGCAAAGGAATCGCACCCCAGCCGGGCCCTGCTCGATCTGAGCAACTAAGGCGCCACCGGCCTCCGAGGATGCCCAGAGCTTTGAAGTGGGCTCATAAGGGTTTTTAAGGGTTCAGGGGTTTAGGGGTGATTTTTTTTAAACCACCTCTTTTCCTTCGCCTGTTGGGTCTGGAACACCATGTTGGTTGAGGTATGGGCCAGGGAGCCTGGGGTTTAGGGTTTAAGGTTTAGGGTTTAGGGTGGGTTGCGGGCCCTGCTGTCTCTTGGGATAGTGATAGTGCGAGGGCAATTCCAGGCTTGGCGCACTGTGGCCTCCCCCACTTCAGGACTTCAGGAACCTTGCGACTTCGATTGAAGAAGCTTGACTCGAGATCTGGAGCAAACCCTGACACCCAGATATCGGCAGGCCTGCATCACATACGCTCCGGCCATAGATGCATACCTTGGAATAGACCCCATGTTGGGAGGGCCTGGGTCGGAAGTTGTCGCCAGTTTACATTACGAACCGGATCTGTGCGGAAGGTTTAGACAACTGAAAGCGGCGGACGTGTCCTCCTCACGGAAGACATTCCAGGGCGCATCTCCAGGACTGAGGGTTTGGGTGCTCTGATAAACCCTAAACCCTAAACCCCTAAACCCTAAACCCTAAATACTTCGACGTCCATTAAGCGAGGATGCTTCTTGGCGGCCGCCTGAACCTGCCCGGGCCGGCGCTTCAGAGGCACCGGGTCTTCTTGAAAGAGACTTGAATATTTATGTCATCTCTGAAGACTCGAGCTGGGGGCGACTGGTCGTCAAACGATCTCAATAGCATGCAAGCACAGTCAGAGTTTCTGCCTCCGGGTCGTTGCAAAAATCTCTGATCTTCCTTGGATGTCGCCAGGGCTGAGGCGGAAGAGTTGATAGCGAAGAGACGACCAGACAAAGACCCAAAGCATAAGACACCAGGCGTCTCTACACCTGGAACCAAACCTTGAAGACGAAAGCTCCAGCACCCCAAAGCCCATAGCTGGACTGAAGCTGTCCCCAAATGAAATTCGTGCCGAGCCACGCCTGTGCTTGCGACGCATATTCCGGAAACTTCTCTTTGCAGGTGTCCATGATCATCTTCTGCACCTTCCATGGACACCCCTTCTCGTAAAGACTGCATCTGAAGGGGGGGCGATGCTTTCTTGGGCTGGGCCTCCGGGTCTTGCAGCGCTGCCATGGCATCCTTGCCTGTCTTTGCCGCCTGCTCTTGCAAGGCCTTCTGGACCTTCGGGTCGTTGATCCTCCCGGGGACAAGTCTCGGCTCCGCCCGATATCGTCAGTCTACATATTATATAATGTATCTTATATACTATAAAGTATAGTTTATATATGATATAGAATATACATGTATGTATATGCATTATTCCTATAATACATGCCTAATCCTTAAGCCTTAAGCTAAGATGCAACTGCTTCTTGACGTCATCGGGGATATCTGCCGGCATGGTCCTGTACGGCGGCTTTGCGTCGGCACTATGCATGCAGCCCCTGCTTAAATCTTTCGGTCTCAGACACACTATCACCTGCCAAGCATCCTTTGATCAAAAGGCTAATCGCTACCCCAACAGGAAAGCGAGTGAGAAACGAGCCAAGACGGCAGGAGCTCTATGTGCGATGCAACCCTTCCGTCCTTCTTTGGACGGACTGGCAGTCACAGCACAACGTCAGTGTCAGCTTGGGCCAACATGGCGAATCATCGATAAGCACGGAAAGCCAGCTCAGCATGTCAGTCTGCGACCGCATGTGAGGACTCGCGAGCCCATGTGTGCGCGCTTGGAACTTGCGGCACATGCGGTACAGAGAGCAGACAAACTGAGAAGTGAGTATTTGGAGGACACGTGCTAGACCAAGACCGCTGTGATCGGCTTCCGGACCAAGCTGCACCTACCTACGCGTGATACTTTGCGACCCTCATGCTTTGCATATATGTGTGCAAAGTTTCAATTACACCACCTCCAAACCTGGTACAGTAGGATCTCCATCGTGCACCTTGTGGTCTACGACTACGAGTCATGTCAATGGCACAGCATAGGGGGTTGTTCATCCCACATGGAACCCGGAATTGCCCCTGTGCTCCTGCGAAGCTTGTGGGCTACCGTGACCCAACACCTGCGGCTTGGGCCTGGTTCACAGCGGGACGGTCTTCAGCTGGGCACGTAGAATATTTATTAGCCGCGAATGGCACGTCTAGAATGACATCAGCAGGTGCCTTTCTGTGGGGCTGTCAGCGACTTTGGTGCTCGCAGTCTTGCGCCTGAGATCTCAAACAAAGAGTGGGATTGTGCTCTAGCTCCTAGCTTTAGCTCTACCATCCAGGCCTTTTCCCAAGTTAGCCGATGATTGAGCTGCATCCGCATGAGTTAAAAATCTCAGCTCCACACGGACGAGAAGTGCTTGTTGCAGGTTTTTTGGCCTTCGCACTAATGTACAGCCGAAAGAAAAAACACAGCAGGTCAACACTGCCTCGTCTCTTCATGGACAAAATCGACACCCATCTGCTCGCACGTCACCCTTGCTGCTTCTGTGCCATGCTCACCTTGCCGACTGGAACACCGCCTCCTGCCGCATCGGAGGCTGCCTGCCGTGGCAGCTTGCGGACGATAGCATGAGCATGTCATAAAGGCAACCAAATGATGGCACAGGCGAGGACGAGCGCTGGCACCCCTTACTAGTGGCGCTTACCAACAAACTCCTCAAAAGCGAACACGCCTAAATCGCAAAGGCCACAGCCACCACTCCACGACAGTAGCTGGCATCCATTCAGCTCGATGGCCTTCAATTCTGTCACGCGCCGTCCAGGCTGCGACCGCCCACGTGGCTTGGCCTCCTGTCAGCTGTGGGCTCAGGGTGCTAAGGTGAATCTCCTCGGTCGTGCTTTGGGCAGGGTCTCTTGTGGCAGGGCTGGACCCAGGTAAAGGCCACAAGTTCAATGTCGGAGGTGTCCGGGAGGAAACTTCCTGCTTGGACCCCTGTTCCCGACGAGACCCCGTCCTGCGCCTGCCCTTGGCGCAAAGTTTTCCTTGCCGGCGGCTCCTCCTGCAGGGGCAAAGTGCTAAAGGCAGTATAGCGTCACATATCATCACATGCATCGTTCACTTTCTGCGACATCACGACCAACAGAACCTCAACAACGGAGTAATCGAACATGAGATCTCTAGGCCCTCCACCTCTGCGGCCACCCTATATTCTTCTGCATTTTTTTTGCAGACACTTCGAAATAAACCAGCGAATACGACATGAAGGCCAAGGCAACCGGCCCACCACCGCCTCAGGTTTTGGGGCCACAGCCGGTGGCCGGCCAGTGGTCGCCCGGGACGCGCCCTTCCTTTGCTGCACCTCCTGGAAAGTCCAAGCAGGAGCTCTGAAACTACGCGTAACTACCTGCGTGCTGTCAGAACCTCCCAGAGGCGGTCAGCTTACGAAAGAGCTGCCTGGATTCCGAATTCCGGCAACTCGGCAACCCCAAGTCAAGCACGTAACCCAAGAGACCTCATCGTCGGAGAAGAGACGAGAAAGGCTTCTTGCCACGGCCTGCTTTCGTTTTTGTTTAAACTCGCCTTCCTGCAGAGGGCTTAGAGCTGAGGGCATGAATTGTTGCCCCCTGTCCTTGCTGCATGACCGGTTGACTGCTAGCAAACACAAGATGCTTGAAGACGGACGGAATGCAAAAGCGCGATTCCATACCATTGCAATTCCGTTGTTCGTTGTGGGTATGACTGTCATGATGATGCTCCCTTACGACCCCAATCATCATCATGATCATCAATATCAAAATCATCATCATCATCATCATCATCATCAGCGACACGACGATAAGTCACCAAACCGCGAGCTTGGACTTTCGGGGCTCACATCGTTGCTGTTCCGTCGCAGCACAGCACGTCGACAATTCGCCCCACCCCAGGTTCGGAGTGAGCGGTGCCTGGTTTCAGTACCTATAACCAATTAGTTAGGAGCTACAAGTAGAGCCTGTGACGCTCCGTCAACCCTTGACTGCCTTGTGCCGCTGCTCCGTTCTTGTCAGGGATGGGCTCGGGGGTGAAGTCGGCGGGGATTTCGGAGACTCCGCCGGGAACAGAGATTGCAAATAGAGCGCCGGATCCGTCCTTACAGAGCAGGCTTCTGAGGGAAAAACAAGGACGCCCTGGAAAAGCCGAGGAGGTGACGTCTCGGGAGTCCTTGGGCTGCGCTCGCCGTCGGTCCTGGGAATTCTTAGAGACGAGCAAACCAAGACTTGAACTAGGCACCAGGTCCTCTTCCGGCTTCCCGACCGCTCTTTGTGGGCTCCTGTCCATGTTGCTCAACTGCCTCAAGAAACTTCAACCCGAAACCCAACGCCCCCAAGTGCACCATTCGAATCCGCTTTAGCCCACCTCTTGGGGTCATGGAGCCACTCTCGACTGCCTGCCAACGCTCTGACTCCGTGGAATGTCTTGCAAACTCGTGTCAACGCCAACTAACGGCAGAGGGAACACTAACAGATCGTGAAGCGAATCCACCTTCAGTCGATGTTGCCATCAACTTGGAGAGGGTAAACCCCGCAACCAACTGGCACCGATAACTTTAGCCTTGGTCCCGTGATGCTAGCGAGGATGAAGGGGAAGGTGTGCATAACCACGACTCGCATGATGGAACAACCATAACAACGATGGTGATGGTGGTGATGATGATGATGATGGTGGTAGTAGTCGTGGTAGTTTATGAAGTAGAAGTCGTCCGCTTGCTGTCATGCTGACTGCCCCTGTTCGTATCTCTGCCGAGCCTGGCGAGTCTGGGAGGGCGAGCGGGAGCTCGGCAGCAGCGGGTTTGGACGTGAGGGCGAGCGGGAACCTCCCAGAGGCTGAAGGAGTAGAGTTCGGCGGCGGCGATGCATCCCTAAACGGCACCGAAAACGTTTAATTGCTCTTGATACTCCCTTTACAACGTTTCGCAGTGAAGACCGGCTGCAAGAAGCGAGAAACCTGCATCGGCCGTTGTCGAACCTTTCCACATTTACTGGGTCTACTGGCTGAGACCCACACTGCAGCAAACACAGGCAGTCTATTAAACCCACCATCATTAGGAAGCACCCAAACGGGTAAGCTTCGATCTCAAAGGCTGCTTGCTCCTTCGTGCCCCCTTGACAGCTCCACACCTGTGCTCCACGGTGATGCCCGCACGTCGTCCGGGGACTTGGGGCCAGAGCAGCATGAGGCTGCTGGCAACACTCAGAAGAAAAACCAAACGCGGCAAAGAATGCGTGGAGGAGTCCATCATTCATTGATGGGGTCGGTGGTGATGATGAGCAACAGGAATACGTAGAAGTGGAGGGTCTAGAATAGAATGTAGTGGAGACAGCAGTAGCAACAGTGGCATGAATAGTAGTAGAAGTAGCACTAGTAGAAGCAGCAGTAGTGGGCGCCGTCGTCGAAGTAGTAGCCGTAGTCGTAGTCGTAGTCGTAGTCGTAGTCGTAGTCGTAGTCGTAGTCGTAGTCGTAGTCGAAGTCGTAGTAGTAGTCGTCGTCGTCGTAGCAGAAGCAGTCGCAGTCACATTCGCAGTTGCAGTAAGCAGTGCAGCAGCGACGCTGAGGGTATCTGCAACAACAGAAGCCTCGCGTGCTTCCAACGTTTCCGACATTCTATGCTAGCCCTGCCCTGGGTGATGCCACATGGCACAGAGATTGCGTGCATCCCTCTGCTGAGCGCATCACATAAGTAGCCGTTGTCGTAGGAGTCGCAGGCTGCTGTGACACCTCCGCTATGCCATTTCACCAGATGTCCGCTGGCGCGCTGAGACAGCAAGTCAAGCCTGCAGATCCATCAGAGGAATATAGTACGGCCCAGAGACATCTGAATGAGGAGCACTGGGGAGCACCCTGCACTTTGGGAGTCCGCACAACTTGATTCCCGCCGGTGACAGAGTCGAGAGATTTCGCTGTGCTCCCCGTCGTATCCTGGCTGTCGAGCCGCGTTTTCCTGCACAGGGCCCAGTAACTGTAACTCCTACTAACCTCCACTGCCACCACCACAGCTACTACTCTCAACCGCTCAACTACTCTACGTTATTACCTACTACCTCCACCACCACTGCCACCACCACTGCCACCACCACCACCACCACTGCCACCACCACCACCACCACCACCACCACGACCACTACCACCACGACGACGACGA